TCCAGGTAGTCTCGAAAGATATCATTCACTAGGTGTTGGAAAGTTGCCGGGGCATTACAGAGGCCAAAGGGCATCACAAGGTATTCAAAGTGTCCGAACCTAGTTCGGAAAGCCGTCTTCCACTCGTCCCCCTCCCGAATTCTCACCAGATTGTAAGCGCTCCTGAGGTCCAGTTTTGTGAAGAAGCATGCTCCTCGCAACCTTTGAAATAGTTCGGGGATCAACGGAAGGGGGTAACTATTCTTTATTGTTATCTTGTTTAAGTATCGGTAATCGATACAGGGTCTGAAAGTATGGTCTTTCTTCTCCACGAAAAAGATACCGGCTCATGCTGGTGATGTAGAAAGACGAATAAAGCCTTTTTCCAATCTCTCATTGATGTATTCCCGGAGGACCTATAATTCAGCCTCGGATAGGGGATAGATTCTGCCGAAAGGAATTTCGGCACCGGGCAGGAGTTCAATAGGACAATCGTATGAGCGATGGGGAGGAAGGCAGTTGGCACTTTTCTTATTGAAGACGTCCAGATATTCATGGTATGCTGCAGGAACAAGTTTCATGGTCTCAGGGTCAGAGTGAATGCCGAGAAGAGGAGTTGCCTCAGTAGTCCCTTTGGGAGTACAGTGATTCAAACAATATTCTGAGGTGAAAGAGATTTCTCCGGACAACCAATTGATGGTTGGGTTGTGGGCTTTTAGCCAGGGCATGCCGAGAATAACTGGAAAAATTGGAGAGGTAATGATGTCTAAGCATAGGAATTCCTGGTGTCCCACAGTAGAGTAGCAGAATATTGGCACGGTTTCCTGTGTCACAGGGCCAGACCTGATACCAGATCCGTCAGCCAGGTGAACAGCAAGTCTCTGTGCTTTGTTACGGAGCGGAATCTGGTTTTGCATAGCGAATTGTGCATCCATAAAGCAGCTACAGGCACCTAAGTCTATAATGGCTGGGACCCTGATTGTCCTTTCGGCCAGTTGTAGCTGCAGATGAAAAGAGAGATGTGCCCGACTTGCCCCTTGAGGGTGCATCATGTAGAAAAAAACCGTTGGGAGAGGATCTGTGGGATTTGGCCGGGCAGGTGGCCACAAAATGACCTGCATCACCGCAGTAGAGGCAGAGGTTGGATTTCTGCTGCAGATAACTGTGGCTTCCAGAAGCTTCTCCTAGTGGAGTTGGTGGGTAATGCTGATGAGGCCACATTTGTAGGAGGTCCTAATTCAGAGCATATCAAAATCTTCCCATTGGTCCTCTCGTTCTGCCTTTCCTGAATTCGGCGGTCAGTCTGAATCGCCAGGTTTATCAGGCTCTCCAAGCTGGTTGGCACCCCCACTCGAGCCAGCTCATCCTTCAGATTTTCGGAAAGACCGAGACGGAACTGGTGGCGGAGAGCAGACTCGTTCCACTGGGTATCAGGACACCAGATACGGAAATCAGTGACATAGTCTTCCACAGGTCTCTGGCCTTGTTGTAGCTTACTGAGCATGACTTCAGCAGTTTGGCGCCGGAAAGGATCATCATAGATTTGTGCCATCGCTGTAAAGAAGGAGTCCACAGAAGCTAAGGCCGGGTCATGCAACTCACGTAGGTGGTAGGCCCAGGACTGGAGTTCATTTCTGAGGAGTGTGATAATGAATCCCACCTTAGTGTTAGGTGCCAAGAAGGTCCTTGGGAGCAGGGAAAAATATAACTCACAGGAGTTACGAAAAGTCCTGAACTTTCCGCGATCCCCTGTAAAGAACTCGGGCGTAGGCACCCGGGGTTCCAGCAGAGCAGAAGTTTCAAAGGTTATACTGGTCTGTGTTTGCGTGACTGCATCAAGGGTAGTATTGAGGTCTGTGTCTAGAAGAGGACATTAGAGTCTGTTCGCAGTTTGCTCTCCAAGTGCTCAAAGTCTTTCCGTAACTCATGCATTACATTGAACAAGGTAGTTACTGCTTGGCGAATGTCCCCCAGTTGTGAGGCCTCCCTTTCAGACTCCATCATGGCTGACTGGTACGGTCACGTACCTAATAGGAGACTGAATTGACGAGGTCGGCCTCACTTGTGTCACTAGCCCTGACCCCGCTGAGGTTGGAACAGTGGGAGTTTAGGGACCAGGGGGAAAAGAGCGCCTGAGGTGGTTGCTTGTGGCTCTTGCAGATGATGGCCTGAGAAGGCAGTGTATCCTCTGATTTGAGTATTGTAATAGCAGACAGAGCAGGTTCTGGATAATGCCTGATGTGCAGCAGAGCAGGTAGGTAGCCAGGACACAGGACAGGAGCAGGGTCAAAGGAAGCCAAGGTCATCAACAGTCGGGCAGCAAGGTACAGAATCAGTAAGAGAAGCCTGGGTCCTAGTGCCTGCCAGTTCCATCATTGGTGAAAGGCGCACCTGGGTCCTAGTGCCCACCTTCCTGTATGCCTTGTCGGGATCCTGCGCCTGTGCAGATTCATGTGCTGCAGCAATCTTCTTGTTCCCTGACAGTATGTATTATAGCTGCAGGAGGTCATTTTACTGTCTCGCAGCTACCAACACAGTTGTCCTCAGTCTCAGCTTTTGGTCTTACTTCTGCATTAGGCATCATGGGAAGAGCCTAAAAGTGACCCTCTGGCACTGGGCCCCATTTGAGTTCTTTCCAGACTAGTTCTGGCTAAGTTGGCTGAAGAGTGCGTTCCAGGTTTAAAGCTTTTAGCACTGGCTCTGTCTCTGAAGACTTACTTATGTGAGTAGGCCATAAAGACTGGGCACTGGGAGCTCCCTCATTTTTACTATTTGCTAGGCACCTAATTTGTATCCCTATTTTCTCCTGCTGGCTTGCCACATAAGGTGTTAATGCTTGCATAGGGGGCCGAGCAAAGAAGTTTCTGCTGGGTGGAATGTCTCTTGCAAATTTCACACTCTCTGTCCCACCAGACAGCACTGAGGAAGCATCTTCCCACTGCTGTTCCTCTTACTAGAGCCACACTGAGCTCAGATCTCTGTTCTGTCTCGATCGATACCCTCCTAATGAGGAGTTAGTTATGAAGTGGTCTGTTCCAGCTTTGGATCTGGCCGTCCATTGCCCTTACTTTTGCAATGGAGTTAGTCCATTTAAGGACTCCACTAAAAAGAAACTGAAAGCTCTTTCTAAGGTCATGTGCTTTTTTGGCAGGCTCTGCCTTGCCCCGGATTCTAGCTGTAGTTCTCCTGTTAGACAACAATTGAATGGGTTAAATACCTTAAATATGATAATGAGAGATGCTGACATCAACCCACAGATCATTGATCTCAAAGAGCAGATGTCTTTGGCTTTAAATTGTAGCTGTGATGGCTTGTTAGCTGTCTCCCATCTGTCTTCTGTCTGCATTTACTCAGGGCTCTCTAGCTGAAGTACTTCACCATGGAACTTGATTGCAACAAGCATTTATTCTGCATGATTTTCAAGGGATAATGTCTTTTGGAGTTAACATTGGATACTATCCTCTAGGTTTGTACCATCTAGGATGCTACTTTGGGTAGGAGTACTCTCGTTCCCCAGGAAAAGAAGCCTAAGGAGCAGGCTTGCAAGTTCTCTCTCTTTGTTACTTCTCAGAAGCACCCCATTCAGTACACTATACCCTTAACTTCACTCAAAGCTTTGCTTTCATTCCACCTGCAAGACTTTGCATTCCAAGTCTGCCAAATCCTCTGAAAAGCCCTCCTCGGCATGAAGTTCCACTCTTACTTTCCATAGTGGGGGATGTCTGAAAGCTATTTTAAAGGCGTGGATGTCTTGCATATCTGATGCTTGGGTGCTGGAGGTGTTGTCCCAGGGTTACAGGTTTTGTTTTCTGCTCTCTCATCACTTTCTCTCCACCAATCTTCTGGTGTCTCCATTGTGTATTCTCTGGACTTTTGGACCAAATGGTCATTGCTGCAAAATATTTTAGGTTTTTTTTTTTTCTATAACCTGTTCACTGTTCCCAAAGGAGGTCATTCGACCCTTTTTTGAACATCAAATCCTTAAATGCTTACAGTCATCTTCAAAAATTCTGGATTAAATCAACAAGATACTTTCTTGTCTCTCTACATCAAAGGGACTGTCTAGTCTCGGTGGACATAAAGGAGGCCTGTTTGCAAGCACTCATTTTTTTCTTCTTTCTGTGTTTTAGGGCCTCTGCCCTACCAGTTGTTGGCCCTTCCATTCATTCAAGGTTTCACCGAAGTGCAGGCCTCAATATTGGCCTTTATACACACTCAAGGTAACCATCTGTAGCCATCTGAACAACCGTCTCTTAAGGGAACAGATTCCTGGATCCTTACTCAGGTGTTCACCTTTGGGCAGCAACATAGTTGGTCTAGTAGAGTTGGATGGAATTTGCATAAATGACTAACAATTTAAAGGCAAACATTTATTAGGCAGTTACTGCAATAAAAATAAAAACTCTAATAGCTAATGCTATTGACCGACTGCATCAAATACACCATAGTTAAATTTTACCGGAGCAGTTATAGCAATCACCTCCATCTCTGCAGTTTAGAGCAAGTAATGGCACAAATTTCCAGAATGACTATAATCTCCATTCACATGCATAGAATCCTGCTCAAAGATTGGTCAGCTGACACTGCCTGTAAAAGTGGCTTCATGTGTATTCCCAGTGAATGACTTGTTAGCATTTCTATTGGTCCTTTATTATGATGCGTGTCCCCAAAGCTTGCATAAAATCCCAATGAAATCCTTTTTACTTCAAGGTTGCAGCACTACAAAATGTAGAAAAGGTGGGATGAATGTTCATGAAAAACCGTGTGTGTTTTTTCAGCTGTGTATTAGGTTCACATGCATGTTACACTTGTATTTCGGGTATAACATGTAACATGTTCCAGCATCCACTGATTGCAGGTGCAGTGTGCTTTATAGTTTCCAAGGGAAAAAATATTAAATGCAAAAATATGCATTTATTATTTTTTTCTTTAAAGGTGAACTTTTCTTTTAAGCTGCTTACTCAGAGTTTTTCTTTACTGCTGATTTTTTTCTTCTAATATTTTCTTTTTGCCCTGTTCAGAAAGAAGCCCCCTCTTCAGTATGTGCGCTGTGAGATGGAAGGATGTGGCACAGTTCTGGCACACCCTAGATACTTACAGGTAAGTAGCTGCTTTGCAGAGTGTATGAATTAAGCAATTCTGTCACACAAATAAATCTGTAATAACGCGCCCCCGGCAAAGAATTCTCACTTCTGCTGTCTGTGCAACTGATCTCTACAGTGGCATAGAGAAACCTCAGTCTGAAGATCCTGCAAATCCGAACATTCTTGTAGGATTTGATTGATTTTGTGCTCCATTAGCAACTTTCCCTCGTCAGGAGTGAAAGCAGACACCGGAAATGTGCTCCTTGACAGATCTTTAAGATCTATACATATCATGCCAATTTAAAATCTGACAGGTGCTGCAGGGGAGAAGAACCCCTGCATGCTGGTGTGTCGGGGGGGGAGGGAGTAGATGTTGTCTGCTTGGCACCATGTTATGGGCGGAACATGGTCATAAAGGTAAAGTTAGCTCAGGTATTATTCTGAAAAGAAAAGGTTGGCAATGGCAGCCTCCATACTTTCTCAGTACAGTATTCTCTTAATCCTAATAACGTCCTTACAGGATGTCTCCAATTTACAAGCTGACCTCAATGCACTGTTTAAATGGACAACAATTTGGCAAATGAGGTTTAATGTTGATAAATGTAAGGTTCTGCACTTGAGGGCTAAGAATATCCATGCATCATACATTCTAGGACGGGTACAACTGGGGAAATCAATGGTGGAGAAGGATCTGGGGGTTCTGGGAGATCACAAGCTTAATAATGGCATGCAATGCCAAGCTGTGGGTTCTAAAGCGAGCAAAATTCTCTCTTGTATTAAAAGAGGTATAGACTCCAGAGAGATATCATATTACCCCGGTACAAATCATTAGTAAGACCTCATCTGGAATATGCAGTTCAGTTTTGGGCACCAATTCACAAAAAGAACATTGGGGAACTGGATAAAGTACAGAGAAGGGCAACCAAACTGACAAGAAGCATGGAGGAGCACCGCTATGAGGAAAGATTAGAGGAACTGAATTTATTCTCTCTTGAGAAGAGGAGATTAAGTAGGAATATGATCAACATGTATAATACATAAGGTGGGGATATGATCTCCATGTATTATACATAAGGGGGGATATGATCTCCATGTATAATACATAAGGGGGATATGATCTCCATCAGTAGTTCATATAGTGAACGCGGAGTAGAGTTATTCACCCTGAGGTCATCACAGAGGACAAGGGGGCACTCTTTACGTCTGGAGGAAAAGAAATGTAATTTACAAATATGGAAAGGTTTCTTCACAATAAGAGCTGTGAAAATGTGGAATATACTCCCTCAAGAGTTGGTTCTGGCCAGCTCAGTGGATTTCTTTAAAAAAGTCCTGGATTCTTTCTTAGATACACAGAATATAACTGGATATAACATTTATAGGTAACATTGATCCAGGGAATATCCGATTGCCTCTCGGGGGATCAGGAGCACATTGGATCATGCTTTGCTGGATTTTTTTTGCCTTCCTCTCGATCAACTATGAGTGTAGGATTATAACTTTTTTTTTTTTTTTTTATGGTTGAACTGGATGGACTTTTGTCGTTTTTCAGCCAGACTAACTATGTATCTATTTAAAGCAGAACTAAATCCTCTTATCCTATACATTCGAGGATGGTGCCACCTGAACCTTTATTTAGACTGCATTTGCCTTGGTGCAGCACATGTGACATCAGCCATTTGAGGGCTTGAAATTTAATTTGAGAGGTGACATATGTAAGTAGCTAGGAAAGTTATTACCAGAAGCATGCAAATCAATGTGTGAAAGTGCCTGTTTTGGGAAACCGTTTAAATCCAGTGGGTTTAATTCCACTTTAGAGATTTGAACAAATGACAGAAATACATGATTTTTTTCCAAACATGCAATTTTCCTGGCTGGGTTGCTGTTTCTCTGGCTTCAGTACTTTCTGTCAGATGACAAACCTTTCAGTTACCCAGATCATGAAGGGGGTAGACAGGTCTCTGAATAGAAGTATACTTGGCATTCTATGCTCCAGCCACAACAGAGCTTCTCCACCTTCATACATGTAAAGTGTTTCTTACCCCACTCAAGACCTTACTGATGCCATACAATTATTGGCTACCTTATTTCTGTCCGATATTCCAGCCCCAGAGCAACCCGTTTGCTTGAACACTGAGAACTGTAATTGTGCTGCTTCTGCTGTTGTGATGTAATCTCAGTCAGAATCGCAGTGGGTCCAGGAACGCTTTCACAAGGACAACCAGGAGTATTGCATGTGTGATTTGAGGTGTCCTGAGGGACAAGTGGCAGCATGAGTGTAGTGTGTCATAATCAGGGATGAAGATGGTAAACAAAATTTGCTTCCACAGTCAACCATGATGGACAGAACAAGGATGGAGACACTTGTAAAGTATGAATTTTATACCTTCCCTTGACCCTGTACACCCCGACAGACTTTTGTAAATTTTTCAGCACCCTGCCTCACATCTTCCTTCTAGAGCATTATCTGAAAAAAAAAACACATTCCTGGCATCCCTTTAGACATGCATATTCCTCCCTGCTTGTCACTGGATTCTGCAAATTTCAACTGTACAAAATGCTGAGCATGCACATCTAAAGGGATGTCTGGAATGTGTTCCTTATTCTCAGGAACAAAATGATTAATGGCAGAGAAGGCTAATAGCTGTGAGTGGCAGACAATGACAGTATGGATCAACAGGAGGGCTAATTGTTTGGTGATTGAAGGCATTCATACTGGAAATGAAGGTAGGCTCAAGATAGCTGCTGCAGCTTCAAAGAGTTATAACTTGGAGGAGGACTTGCTACAAATATGGGGAAAAGGTAAGGCTGGAGTTCAGCATTATTTAGTTTTTCTTGCATAGCAGGGCTGTACTTTACCATTTCATTTGTGAAAGTGTCACATGACATATTTGAAAGTGGAAACCCTCTAAGTGGTTGGGGGCGGGGGGGGGGGGGATGGGATGAATCACTGGAAATTTAAGAGGCCTTTTTTTAGATGACACTGTTGCCTTTTTGTCTTTAGCACCACATTAAATATCAGCACCTTTTAAAGAAGAAATATGTGTGTCCGCATCCCTCCTGTGGGAGGCTGTTCCGTCTGCAGAAGCAGCTGATGCGTCACGCAAAGCACCACACAGGTAAGTAATACACATTTTGCATATGAAGAGAAGACTGAAGGCTGGGCAAACTTAGAGTTCAAGAATCATTCTGTCTTGGAACGACACTTGAAATAAACTTACACGGACTGAAAAAGTACCCAATCTAAAAATGGCCATACACTGATTTGAAATTTGGTCATTTGGGAAGGCAGTGGCTGAATTTTGATCAGTACGTGGTTGTCCCTGCTCAACAGAAGTCAATCATTTGATCAGCTGCAGATCAGTGTTTTTTGACAGCTATCCGAATACAATGTCTGGGGGAGGGGGGGGGGGGGATTTTCTCCATCCACCTTGTTTGTGTAGATGGAGGAATCTTTAAGTTTTTTTTCATGGTTGGACCCACTGACTACATGAAAAAGGAAACCAACAGTGTATGGCCAGCTTTACATCACAGCAGAAATACAGGAATCTGTACTACTTACCTTAATCACTAAATCTAAGCCCCACCCCCTTATGCTTAGGCCTGTCCCTTGTCAGTGAACTGTCAGCTGGCAGAGTCTCCCCTGGCCACTGATGATCTGCCATTTGACAGCACTGTGACAGGGAAGGTACTTTGTCACCACTTGGCCAGAAGTTGAGTCCCTTTGTACAGGCTGTACCTAGAATACAAGGGCTTCGCAGACACAGACATTGATCTGCAGATTAAAGTGAAACTACAAGAAGCAATATTGTAGTAGTTTTAAGGTCATGCTAGTTTTCTTACAGCCAAACCGTAAGCTAATGGCTAAATACAAAATTAAATACTGTGTTTCACCAGCCCCAGGATTTTCAGTTGTGTGCAGTCATTGTTGTGATTAAGACACTCCTTCCAGGCAGTACAGCCAAATCCTGAACTCCCTTTGAGTTCCCTTTACAAAATGGAGATAACCCTATTTTCAGCCAATCATTTTCGGTGGCTGATAATATCGGTGCACCCTTCGTTTATATTATTTTAGTTGTACAGTACAGGACACAGGCAACTTATTCATACATCAGCTGTGGTGTATGGATAGGTTGCCTGTGTTCTGTACTGGACTCCAAGATATGGAATTTACATTTAAGTCAAAATGCTTTATTTTTACAGGCAGCCAGCAGGTGACTCTGCTGTTTTTCTTTACCCCCTATTGTAAAAAGGCTGTGAGCTATAGAGCTCATTAGCTCAAGCTGATGTTTAAAACACACAAGTGAGTCCTTCCTTATCGGTTGGCTAATACAAGACAGCCTGACTGCAAGGGGAATCTGCTGCTGTGCTCTCTCTCATTAAAGAATCCCCTTACCCTGACAAACTCTGTTACAGTCATAAGCAAGAAACCAGGAAGGGTTTACCTCAGCTACAGATGTTATTGCTTCAGAATCCAAGCCCAGGTTTGGTGTCCCTAAGTGATGGATGTTTTCTGCTTTGGAGAAGTTTTTTCTTTTTAACCATTTTTTTTTTTTTATTTTGTCACTTCTATCTGAATCTGACTTCATATTGCCCAGGGCTGTCTAGCAGTTTCAGGACTGTACCCGAACCCCACTGTGTGGGGCCAGGCCTGTAATGTTTGCTTTGGGCACTCGATCCCGCGTTAGGCACTTCCAGTGGCAAGAAGTGAAATGTGTAGTTAGCCGCAGGGTGCTATACAACAGGGCCTGGGCAATGGTCCATCTCTGTGGTTCCCAGACCCTGAAGTCCTCTGCGATATGTGTATCGTGGCAGACAAAGCATTGACCTCTACTCGGCTCAGGGATGTTGATAAGGTGAGACAAGGATTCCCTATGTTTTGGGATCGGCTCCTAGCTGTTAGTAGACATTGTATGCTTAGCACACAATGCAGAAACATAGGCAGGGGAATTGGGAGTTGTGTTACTCCGTTAAACCTGTCTCTTATAGTGCCTCAAGCAATTTAAAATTTTGTGGTTTTCTTCACTACCTAGACTTCGTTTCAGGATGATGATATAGTAGCGACATGCCTCGTGGCTAATGCACTTCCACATGCCATATCTGCCGAAAAACGCACTCAAATTCTTCCTGCCAACACAGTCACAGGAACTTGGTCAGTGTCTCAGTTATAACAGCCCTTTCATTCTGAATATGCAAAACCCCATTCCTTCCATATCCTACCCCACTAGTGATCCCCTAACTTAAGCAATGGCAGATCACAGAGGCACGGGAGCTAAGACAAAAGGGTCAAATAGCATTTGTTCTGCTGAGGGTATGACACCACTCTCGACTTATAGATCCAACTCAGGCCCATAGCCTGATGTTAAGCCTATGTGCGCCTGATATGGAGCTATAATGAGATTTCTCTGCCAAAATGCTTGAATTATTCTGAAAACATTCAAAAATCCCACAACCCTCAGTATCCAGGGGTCAAAAATATTACACTCCCTCTCTCCCCTCTAACTCTGTTCATGAATCAGAGTTTAAACCTATTTGAGGATGAAATGGAGGAAAGCAAGGGGTGTGTAGGTATTGTAGCTGAAGCTGCATGGGATTTTGCAACCTCTGCTTTTTATGGGACACAAGCCATGGTTTCTTGACAAATGCTCTCCACTATCGACTAACTGATTGATGTTTTGCAAAATAGTGTTGGGCTAGTAGTACCTGAATCTCTAAAGCCCCTATGGGAACTAGCATGCTGTAAAAATAAAAAAATACTTTTCTCTTCCATTCATTGAAGGACACACATAGATCTTTTAGATGGTGACTATAGGGTTAGTATGCCCCTGCAGTTGAAGGACAATAGGTGAAACAACAAAGACAAAACACACCCCAGGGGCATTCCCTGCTGGTGGCCAAACCTCCAATCTGCAACCTACAGCTTAGTTTAGCTTTAGTTAATGACAATTACTCCTTTCCCACTTGTGAAGAAACTGGAATGTTTTTTCTTCTTGGCAGATCCACTTTGCATTGCCTGCCAAATTCCCCTGTCCTGAAAGCCTGTGCTCCTTTCTCCGCGTAAGCAAGGCGATGTTGGGGTTTTCAGGGTCCCCTTTAACCTTTGACTCTTTTTGTATGGCTGTGGAAGGTTTCATAGCTTGCATGGAGAGGTCTTTATTGCAGAAACCTCCTAGAAAATACCCTCTTACATTTGCGTCCAAGGGTTTGGACGATAGACTGCCTTTCCCCGCGGGTCAGCAAGTGGCGATCAGAGGCTTTTATTCCAATCTGTTCACAGTCTCAAAAAAGGAAGGCGTTTGTCCCATCCTGGATCTGAAGGCCTTGAACGCTGTTGTGAAGGTACGTAAGTTTCACATTGAATCAGTGCAGTTGGTGGTTGCCTCTATTCACCAGGGTGACCTGATAGCCTCTATTGACATCAAGGACACCAACTTCCATGTGCCCATCTTCTGCAACCATGAAGGCTTCCTCCAGTTTGCAATAGGATAGCTCTATTACAAATTTGTATCTCTTCCATTTGGTCAGGTGTTGGTGCCTCAGGTGCTCACCAAGATGCAAGGCCAAGACTGGCTCTCTTATGTGACTTAGTGGGATCTCGAACGTGGGATATTTGGACGGTTTGCTCCCACAGACGGAATCTTTGATGGATCTGGAACACGATGTTGTGATCACAGTTCATTAGCGGGAAAAGTTTGGAAGAATCCTGAATCTGCACACCTGAACCTTAATATGGGCACCAGAGTATTTCTTCTACCATAGAATCTTCAAAAGCTTTGGCATCATGTTCTCTGTGGATGGTCTCCCTCCTGTGGTGCATGAGGTTTCTGGTCTCGTTTCTAGGAAATTCTAACCAAATGGAACAAGACTACAGGGTCTCTGGATTCATCTCTCTCATTTAGCAAGAGCATCTTTGACTTGCTATCTTCACACCCCCCTTCACCTGTCTGGGAAGCTCTTTCCCCTCCTGTGTTGGAAGATCATCACGACAGGTGTCTTTTCAGCTGTGGGGGGGTTGATGGGTAATCTGTCGGTTTTAGACCAATGGTTCCCGGAAAAGAACAGACTTTACATCAATGTCCTGGAACTCAGAGCGATTTGACTCTTTATTTCCCATTGGCAGTTCTTCTCGAAGGCTGCCTGTTGCCTACATAAATCACCAGGGCGGTACAAAGATTTTGGCGGCTGTAGCTCAGATCCTCAGTTGGCCAAACTCCATGTCCCAGCCTTGTCTGCTGACTACTTCAGTCCTCAGTGTCTGGATCAGGGGGAAGTGGTCTCTACACTTGGATGTCTTTCACTGGATTGCTGGAATGCTGGGGCACGACAGATGTGGATCTCTTTGCATCTAGACTCAAGCAGAAATTTCCCAGGTTTATGGCCAGGACTCTGGGCCTATTCATTGCATAGAATAGGCCCAGAAAGATGTAGCACACAGAAATGCTTAGACTCCTGGTAGACAAGCCTTGGTCTCTTCCAAATAGACCAGACATGCTGCCACAAGACCCCCTGTTTCACCATGCCTCTTAGTCAGTTGCTTTAACAGCACGGCTATTGAAACCTACAGTGGATATATAAAGTCTACGCAACCATATTATTTTTAGTTTCTAATGTTTACTTCCTCCCCCTAAAAGATTTCTGTTTGTTTTTCCATTGAGTTGTACAGTTTATAGGTTCCAGTAAAGGTGAAAAAGTTTTGAACTTTGTCTAATTTTTTTACATCACAGAAATCTGACATTTTAACAGGGGCGTGAAGACTTTTTTATATCCACTGTGAGTCCTGAAGGATAGAGATATCTCTGACTCTTTTATCTCCAGCTTACTCAACGCAAGAAAATCTACCTCTGCAAGATCTATCATCTCCCATGGAAGGCTTACTTTACTGGGTGTGCGGACAAGAAACTGAGTCCCAATATTTTGTTGTCTGCATTTTGGCCTTTTTTCTGTGTTGTCTTGACCGACAACTGGCCCCGAGTACCCTTAAACCGCTATTAAATACCAAAAACAGCCAAGACTTGAGGGAGTTGCTCATCTTTCAATTCAGCCTGTTTTGCTTTGGGATTATAACCTAGTGCTCTCTGCATTTCAGAAACCCTCCCTCCCCCTCTTTGAGGCAATTGGTGCTATCCCATTGGAAGACCTCACATATAAGGTTGTCCTTATGATGTCCATTACAACTGTTAGGTGTGTTTCTGAGCTTGCAGTTCTTGCATGTAAAGAGCCTTTTCTCGTTTTGCACAGGGCAAGATGGTTTTGAGATCAAAACCTTCTTTTCTACCCAAGGTGGTCTCTGTCTTCCACCTCAGTGAGGACATTGGGTTTGATTTACTAAAACTGTAGTGTGCAGAATCTGGTGCAGCTCTGCATAGAAACCAATTCGGTTCCAGGTTTTGTTTTCTTTTGGTCGAAGCTTAATTGAATAAGCTGAAGTTAAAAGCTGATTGGCTACCATGGACAGCTGCATCAGATTTTGCATCAGCTTCTAACTTCAGCTTGTTCAATCAAACTTCAACCAAAAGAAAAAAACTGGAAGCTGATTGGTTTCTATGCAGAACTGCACCAGATTTTTGCACTCTCCAGTTTTAGTAAACCAACCCCATTGTCTCTCTCTCCCACTTCATGAGGATTCTTTTCTGCACCAAAACACACCAATGAGATTTCCCTACAATTGCCAGAATTGCAGGGTCTACCTGGCAGCCACAACTTCTGTTCAAAAAACGACATCCCTTTTTGTGTTACTTGTCGGACGTTCTAGAGGACATCGTGCCTCACACTCCACCATTGGACTCCACGTGGATCAGACACAACATATTTCCAGGGCCTACTCATTTAAAGTGGTTCTAGAGGCAAAAAGGTTTTTTTCACCTTGATGCATTCTCTAATTCTTTACATTAAAGTAAAAAAAATTTTAATAGCAGCCCCCCCCCCCTTAAATGATTACCATTCTCAATGAGTCCATTCTCAATCCAGTGCTGTGCCTGTCTGCTATAGCTCTCCTCTCCTGGTCACATGGCAGACTCTGACGGCAACAGGGGCCATTGGCCCAGTGGGGAGATAGTGGGGGGGCAGGGCCAAGCCATGCTATGTGGGTCTATGGACACACAACCCAGCTCAGGAGTGCGCCTGTACGAGTGCTCCCATATTAGGCATTGGCGGAGGACCACAGAAGTGGAGGTTTGGGGCGCTCTGTGCACTGCCATTGCACAGAACAGGTAAAAATAAACCTTTTTTTATTATAGGAAAAAAAAATTGTGTTTACAATTGCTTTATGGAACAGCTTCCTCCTTTCTCTATAAGAGCTCAGTCCACCAGCTATGTTGGTCTCTCTTGGCATTTCCAGCATCAAACATCTGTTTCCCATATTTGCCACTTGGTCCCTCTGTTCACACGTTCTCTAGGTTCTACTATGTGGAATTTCAGGCCTTGGCTGATGCAAGCTTCGGCCACAAGGTTCCTCAAGCTGTCATCAAAATGTTTTGGGGTTCCTTGACCCTTTATTTTTTTGTGGGCCTGTTGGCAGTTCTGTTTGCTTTGTTGTTGCCCAACCGTCAGTTTATTGCTAGGGTACATCTCATAGTCTACGTTTACATGTCCTGTACTGCACTCCAAGATATGGAATTTAAAGTTGAGTTCATATTCCTGTGGTTTTTCTTTTTTTTTTTTCTCTAAGGAGAAAAGTCAATCACTCTGTTGTAAACATGGTGTTTTCTTACATATAGTATAGCACTTTATTCCAACATTTCATCAAAGATAAAACTTCAAGTTTGATACATTGTAGTGGATGCCTATAATTTGAACCTAAATTCTGTTCTGGGAAACGCAGTATGCTATATACATGAGAAAGATGATTTGGCTTACAGTAAGTCCCATCTGCAAACTGAGTATTATTGCAAGAAAGAAACTAATTGGTGTAGCAATTACTGTATACGCTCTCCAGCCACTTTGTTAGGTACACCTTGCTAGTGCCAAGTAAATATCCCCCACACCATTACACCACCACCACCAACCTGAACCATTGATACAAGGCAGGATGGATTCATGCTTTCATGTTGTTTACGCAAAATTCTGACCTGACCCTACTATCCGAATGTCGCAGCAACCAGTCTGTCCATTCTCCTCTCCACACAACTGCCACTCACTGGGTATTTTCTATTTTTCGGACCATTCTCTGTAAACTTTAGATATGGTTGTGTGTGAAAATCCCAGTAGATCTGTTTTTGAACCAACCCTTCTAGCACCAATAACCATGCAATGTTCAAAGTCACTTAAATCCCCTTTCTTCCTCATTCTGATGCTCGGTTTGAACTTCAGCAAGTCATCTTCATCATGTCTAGATGCCTGAATGCATTGAGTTGTTGCCATGTGATTGGCTGATTAGCAATTTGTGTTACCAAGCAATTGAACAGCTGTACCTAATAAAGTGCCAGTGACTGTATATGTTATATCCGTAAAGTGAAGGTTTTCTTTAACTAGCTGCCGACTGCAGATAGCCGAATGACGGCTGCACTGCGGCCGGCCAGTTCTGGGTGGACGTCATATGACGTCCTCCCAGAACGAGCTCTCCTGCGATCACGTGATGTGGTAAAAGGCCAATCACAGCGGCCTTTTACCACCTGATCAGCGGTGTCCAATGACACGCTGATCAGAGGGAAATGCAAGTGCCGGTTCTCGGCTGCACTTTCTTCACGCTGTCAGATCGTGAGGAAAGTACTGCCGAGAACCGGCAGTTGTCAGAGCGGGGATCGGCACCGATCATCAGGGCACTGATGATCAGTGCCCTGATGATCGGTGTCCAGCAGTGCCACCCGCAAGTTCCGCCCACCTGTGCCCAGCAGTGCGCCCACTAGCTCCGCCCACCTGTGCCCAGCAGTGCACCCACCTGTGCCCAGCAGTGCACCCACCTGTGCCACTCTGCAGTGCCACCTACCTGTGCCCAGAAGTGCCACCTACCTGTGCCCAGCAGTGCCACCCACCTGTGCCCACCCACCTGTGCCCACCAGTGCCACCCACCTGTGCCCACCCACCAGTGCTGCCCACCAGTGCCACCCACCAGTGCAGCCCACCAGTGCTGCCAGTCAGTGCCACCAGTCAGTGCCCAGCGGTTGTGCCAGTCAGTGCCACCAGTCAGTGCCCAGCGGTTGTGCCAGTCAGTGCCGTCTATCAGTACCCATCATCAGCGTCACCTATCAGTGCCGCCTATCAGTGCTGCATATTAGTGCCGCCTATCCGTGACACCTCATTAGTGCTGTCTATCAGTGCCGCCTATCCGTGCCACCTCATTAGTACTGCCTATCAGTGCCCTTTAGTGCTGCCTATCAGTGCCGCCTATCAGTGCCCATCAGTGCTGCCTCATCAACGCACATCAGTGAAGGAGAAAAAATACCTGTTTGAAAAATTTTATAATAGAAACAAAGAAACTTTTTTTTTTTTTTTCAAATTTTTTACACTTTTTTTATTTTTAGCGCAAAAAGTAAAGCGCCCAGTGGCGATTAAATACCACCAAAAGAAAGCTCTATTTGTGAGAAAAAAATGATCAAAATTTCATATGGGTACAATGTTGCATGACCGCGCAATTGTCAATCAAAGTGCGGCAGCGCTGAAAGCTGAAAATTGGCCTGGTAAATAAGGGGGTATAAGTGCCTGGTAGGCAAGTGGTTAAAGAAAAAAAAAAATATATTTCAAAATACTGTAGTCATTAAAGAATAGCTGTACCTTTAAAAAATGCATAGGATATATTAAACTACTCAGGGATACCAAGCAGAAGGTGTCTCTTGTCTGTTTGTCTGAGAGACCACTTTAATTTCTGTTTCTATCTTCGTTATTAGACCAGCGAGATTATATCTGTGAATACTGCGCCCGAGCATTTAAGAGCTCCCACAACCTGGCTGTGCACCGCATGATCCATACAGGAGAAAAGCCCTTACAGTGAGTGCTGAAATCCCCTCCTGATGTGTTGCAGTCTTCCCTCCGCCTGCACTTACCAATTTTCTTTTTGCTTTTTCCCCTCATTCTAGATGTGAGTTCTGTGGGTTCACTTGCAGACAGAAGGCCTCCCTGAATTGGCACATGAAGAAGCATGATGCTGATTCCTTCTACCAGTTCTCCTGTGGCATCTGCGGGAAGAAGTTTGAGAAGAAGGACAGTGTTGTTGCCCACAAGGCCAAGAGCCATCCTGAGATCCTATTAGCCGAAGCCTTGGCGGCCAACTCTGGCGCTCTCATCACCGCCAACAACGAACTGCTGCTGCCAGAGACCCCAGCTCCCTTGGTTCCTGGGGCTCCCATGGCTCTTGATGCCCCCATGGCTCTTGTGGCTTCTGCTGCTTCTGATGCAGCCACCACAGAGGCCCAGGAAGAGCCAGCACCATCCCAGACCATCTACACCACCTCCAGCTCTAAGATTTTAGTGGCTTGCTCCACGCAGCCAGCAGGAGGACTGGCTTCTAACACACAGGTTCCTATTGAGGATGCGGACTCTGCAGGACCTTAGAAGGGAGAATCTGATCCCTCTGCACAGCACCTAGACTGTTTCCTTGTTCCCCTCCCAGCTGGCTGGCTGTCTCACCCTACCAATGCTTTCTCTCTTTCCTTGTAATATCAGAATAGGCTATGACCAGGCACAAAGATCTGACCCATCTGAGGTCATCAACATTTTTCTTTGACTTCTCTGACTTTCTTTCATAATTCTGACCATTAACCAATTATGCTTTTCCCTCAATCATGGTTTTTTTTATCTCTTCTGTCCTTCGTTACCTTTTTTTGTTTGTTTAATTTCCTTTTTCTCTATGCCCCACCCTGTCCCTGTTTCCTCTCTTTGGGTGCTGTGCCCTGCACACTCACTGTATATATTATGTTTAAAGAATAAAACTGAGCTGTTCTGTCTCATATGGAGCCCTGTCCCCCCAAGCAAAGCTGCTGATGTTACTTGGAGCGCTGCTTGCGGTCTCTTTTGCAATCTGTGAATTACCAGCCCTTCCCACTTCTTACAGGGATATTCCAAATTTTTTTTAAAAATTGGACCCTTCCATGTAGTAAGATGAAGGGACCAACCTGTACTTCTGTTCCATCTTAACATTTTACCATAAAATGGATGGAGCTTCTTGACAACCAACAGCATGTTGAAAAGTTGGCACATGTCAGTAGATCTGGGGGGTTGAGTGATCAGGGATTAGGTATGCCTGTGGCTTTAGTGCTTTTGAGAGATATATTCCCCCTACTGCACCTCTTAAGAACAACATAAGAGCACCTTACTTGGTCTTAATATCTACAGGGTATAATAACGCTGCTTGAGCTCAGTAGTTAGCCATGGAATTTAGTTGGCTCTTAGAAAAGAGGAGTTAAAGTGAAGACAATCTACTGTCCATGGTGGAGTCTCCAACAGAGGTCAAGTTTTAGTTTTAGGGGGGCTTTTCTGGGTCTATTGCAATCCTTTATCAATGTCAGTTGAAGGGATGGGAGTTGCAAAGTGTCTGCCTTGTGCCATTCTGCTATAATCTGCCTCTGATGCTGTGAAGGCTAGTATGATTCTGTGCCTTTTAAAGTCTAGGGACGTTTAATTTATATTTGATCTTTGGCCTCTTTTCTGACTAGAATGGAATAGCACAGACCACCCAAGGAGACAATATATACTCCCAGTGCCTCCAAAGTGTGTGTGACTGAGCAGTGATTACCTCCTGTTTAGCTAAAGCAGGCTTTAAGATCCGACTCCAGCCAAACGTTTTTATTTTGTTTTGGGTAAAGCTAGAAAGGGTTAGAACCTCTGTCAGGATTTTGCTGTACCCTGTGTCCTTACTGCGGAGACTCCACCTCACTTTTTATCAGGACTAATTGGAAGATTCTCCAATGGGTATGCAGATAAAAAACACTCCAGTAATTAATTGGAAGATTCTCCAATGGGTATGCAGATAAAACAACATATCTTAATCTTATGATACAGGACAAAGGCTGAGTATTAATAGACCCTGGGTTATAGGCTGCTACCAGTACCTTCAGGTGATTGGACACTGGTAAAGCTTTGACATCCTGTATTTGGAATGTTTTCACTTTACAGCCTGGTGGTAAAACTCAAGCTCTCAGAGCTTAGTCTCAACTGGATGACCAGGTGTCACATCACACCACAGGTGGAACATTTTACCACCACGTCCTCCTAGAACCATTATTATATGGTACTCAGGTGCTTCCTCCTCATCCTGTTGCCAAGAGGATTTCACTACAGGACAGTTTGCACCCGGGTTGTAGCATACTCCTTCTCGGACTCGCTTATCGTATTTTTGCACCCTACTCCATGAGTACAACACAAGGGACTATCACTACCCAATGCAATGGCAAAAATCAGGCGAAAAAGGGCAAAAGCTCAGGCAAACATTTGCACTTCACAACAGGAGTAGTTGTGCCAGTACTCCTACAGGACAGGTTCAAGGAATTCAAACCTGTTCATGGTACCAAAGCCAAACGTGGATATTCATCCTATCCTGGACCCAATATCGCTAAACAAATACCTTCAAACTCCAAATTTTGCATGGAATCCACAAGGTCAGTTATTGTCTCAATTATTGACCAGAGGGATACTTGGCATTCGTAGACAACCAAGATGCTTGTTTGCATATTCTCATTTATTTTCTTCATGAGCATTTTCTATGGTTTGCAGTAGGATAAAATCACTTCCACTTTCCCCAGTCCACTTATATGGACAGAGAATCACTGTTCAGTGATCTCTGATGTCCACATCCCAGGAGTGGGCTTAGCTCACCCAGTCACCGCCTGGACCAAGGGGAATGGGTCCTTCACTCCATCATCCTTAATCTCGTGTCAGAGATAAAAGGACCCCAGGCATGGATATCCTGGCCTCCAGATTTAATAACAAGTTATCTCTGTGGCCAGGACCAAAGGTCCTCCAGCACTGGCATTGGATGCCTTGGTAATCCTCTGGTCTCAGTTCTTGCTAATTTATGCCTTGCCTACTCCACAAAATAGAGCAAAAGAAGATATTAATGATTGTCATTGCGCCAAACTGGTCCAGGAGAACCTGGTACATAAACATTCTCAGAATACTAAGGGGAAAAACCCTTGGCCTCTTCCCAACAGGCCAGACCTGTTGTCTCAGTACCTTCTAGTCTATCCTACTTCTCAGTCACATGAAGTCCAGGTCTTAAAGGACACAGGGACTTCTGAGTCTGAAATTCCTATTGTGGCACAACTGCAGGCTCAATCCCAAGCCACGCTGCCTGTGTCCATAGACTAAGACAGCATGGCTCGTCCCTGCCCCTTTGTCATAGGATTTGATTGGCAGAAGCCAGTGGTTCCCGCTGCTGCCTCTTTGTCCTGTGAGGAGGCAGAGAGTCGATGCTCTCAAGCACATCGCTGGGTCGAGATCTGGCTCAGGTAGGTAAAAGGGAGGGCTAGGGGGGATCCTGTGCACAGAAGGTTTTTTTACCTTAATGCAGGTAAAAGGTAAAAAAAAAACCTGCCTGTAGAACCACTTTAGGCCCTCTAAAAGGACAGATTTCGGACTTGTTCAGTTTTTCTTTTCTCAAAAACCTCTGGTCTCGCTATCCCTTGTCAAAACTTTTATTAAAGATGTATCTTGGATCAGTCCCCCTTTACAGCACCCTATGCTTTTTTGGGACTTCAACCATTTGAACCCATCTGGAATATCCCCTTAGATGATCATTCCTGTAAAGTGGCCTTCTTGGTTACTATCATGGATGTCAGATGTGTCCCTGGGTTATCGGCTGTTTCTTCTAAGGAGCCATTCCTGATTCTATACAAAGACAAAGCAGTCTTGTGCCCAAAAACACCTTTTTTTTCCTTAAGAGGTATCAAACTTCCTCTTCAGTGAAAATAAAGTCCTGGCATCTTTGTGCCCTGTTCCAGAGCACCCAAAAGAAATTGGTCTTCACTACCTGGACTTAGAGCCATCAGAGCAACCTCAAAGCAACATCTTCAGTCAGGAAGATAGACTTCCTATTTGTTCTATCTTCATGACCTCGAAAGGGACATCCTGCTTCCTAGTCAACCATAACTAGATGGATAAGACAACTCATCACCAAAGTTTACACCCTTAAGGACAAAACTCTTCCTACACTTTTGTGCTTTCAGTCACATTCCTGCACCAGGCCTTTGTTGCTTTGTAAGGCTACCACCTGGTCTTCTGTTTATTTCAAAGTTCTACCAGGTGGATGTCCAATCTTCTGTGAATACAGTTTTTGGCCACAAGGTTCTTGCAGCAGCACTTTAAAATTTGGTCATTTGACCCTTGTTTTTGGGCCTATTGGCACAGTTTTGTTTGCCTAGTTGTTTCCCTTATTCATTGCTTGGGGATGTCGCAGGGTACTGTGAATACTCAGCTACCCATGGAATGGTGTAGAGTTACGCAGGGGTTTGCTCTCAAGATTGTGCCAATGTCCACTCACATGGGGGTACCAGCCTATAACCCAGGGTCTATGAATACGGAGCTTGTGTCCTATACTGTTCTCCAAGATATGGAATGTAGAAGCAAGTCAAAATTCTTTTTGTGTCTAATAGAGAGATACAGATGTTAGAACGTCTGAAGTTTTTTATATCTGTCATTGCCAGTGACAACCACCCAACCCCTCTAGTTTCTTGTATGGGTGTCAAAAGGACTGGGATTGAGGGAAAAACCCCTCAAGGGGTCATAACTTTTCCCTAATCTGTCCAAAATGGATAAGGTCATCCTGGGTACACCAGAGACCAGGCAGCCAGTGTTCTCTATCCATTAGGACCTAAGCAGTGGGAGCATATGTCATCTCCATCCATGGTCTGTGGTACAGTGGGGCCACATAGCAAGTTTATTTTAAAAGCACATTTATTCTTCATTCCTTCTCCTTCTTTTAGAACTAAGTTGGTAGTTTGGGGTGAGTAAATCTTTGCACTTTAAAGTGATGTTCAGAGGGCAGTTTAATATCTAAAATCGTTTTCTTTCAACTTGTGTCCAGTCACTAGTTGCTCTGTTTGCTTGCTTCCACCTGTAATTGGTTGAGCTTCACCTGTTTGCACCAGTCCCCTGCACACAAAGCACTCTCCTGTCCTTTTACAGACAACAGCTGTTATTGTGCAGTGTTCACCGCTCGGGACATCATGGGCCTTCTGCTCTAAAAGGGAAACAGCCTTGTATTTTCAGTGGGTACACATTTCACCTCCTCCTTGTAACATTTACCTGACATTATTTCTATTAGACTTGTTTTCACTTGCTTGCAGTGTCCTATTTTGCCCTTCATGCACAGGTTTTAGGTTTCTACCTCTAGCAGCCAACTGTATAGGAGCCCAGTTAGCTTCCATGGTCCAGAACTGCTAAGGTCCAATAACTGCACAAAGTCTGTAGTTTCTCATCAGTCAGAGCAGACCAATGGACTTTCATTGGGAGTGAGGAACAGTAGAGTGCAATCACTGCTTAGTGTTACGAAGCCAAAACATCTGAACATCTTTATAAAAAAAAAATACATAAAACTGGCCATACACGGGTCGAATTCC